TGCCGCCGCTGCCGCCGGCAACAGTGTTTTCATTAACGGCAGTGGCCTAGGGCCTCTCGACGGCAATCCCATTCACGGCGACCCAGCACCGGTCAGCAGTCAGCAGATGACACTGCACAATGGCCAGTCGCTGAGCCATCACCACAGCGCCAGTCCGCAACACGAGTTGCACGTCCTGCAGAACAGCACCTCCTCGACGATGCACTCGCAGTCGCAGCACTTTGCACAACTCGCTGAAAACGGCGCCTACCCCTATCACCCACACTCAATGCCCGCCCACCACCACCATCACCACCACCTGATGGGTGGTGCCGGCGCCGGAAACTCGCAGTCATCGTCCTCACTGCACCTCAACTCGCTGGCCATCAACGGTGGTCTGTCAGTGGCGGTCGGTGGTAACAACGGTAGTGGCGGCAATCACAGCGGACAGCGCAATGGACACAGCGGCAGCAGTACGAGCAGTCGAAGCAGCAACCAGTCCAGTCAGGGCAGCAGCAAGTCGGGCAGCACTCGAGGCACCGCATCGTACTCTCACCAGAGCGGAGCAGTGGGCAAGGACGGCAAGGGACCCAGCATTGATGATGTCTCCCTCATTCATCTGTCAGTGCGAGAGCTGAACAAGCGCCTGAACGGCCTCTCCAAAGATGACATCATTCGGGTGAAGCAGAAGCGACGGACGCTGAAGAATCGAGGTTACGCGCAGAACTGCCGCACCAAGCGCATGGAGCAGAAGCGAACGCTGGAGGAGCGACTGAAGGACCAGCATGAGCTGCTCCGAAAGTACGAGGCGCAAATTGCAAAGGACAAAATGGAGAAACAGAGTTTGAGAGAAGAGGTGAACGAAGCCCATCGAAAACTGCGCTACTACGCAGCCCATTTTCACAGTGCCATGAGCACACCAATGCAGAGTCACCTAGCCGGTGTTGGTGGTGGCAACGGCGGTAATGGTCACCATCATCCGGAACAGCACAACCAGGGCCTGGGTCAGAACCAGAATGCAGTGGGACAACAGCAGGTGGTGAGCACAACCTCCGGCACACCTAATCCCAATGAAATGCAGTACGAGTGCACCAGTTCGCTCTCCAGTGCGTCAAGTGGCAACTCGACGCCCAACTCCAGCATGTTTGAGTGCAACTCATAAAGTGAAGTTTTAGTGAATGAAGAAAGCGCTTTTTAAACGTTTTGCAATACTCTTTTTTGTTTTAATAGTCGCTCGATCACCAAACAACTGACCCTGACAATAAAGAACCCCATAAAACACAACCATGTATCCACACACACAGGCACAGTGTACAAACAGCACTTTTACGACCGCCAATCGCCGCTTTACAGCTAACGCACCACAAACCAATCGATCTCGTTGACAGGCCAATCCTTTTTATTATTACTAATTGCCATGCTGTATTATACAAAAAAATGAAAAACACAAAAAAGTACATCAACTGTACTGGAGCAGAGTTATCAGCCGATTACCAGCCACCAACAACAACACCACAGCCCGTTACCTACCGACGACCAATTTTATTTTTGTATTTCCAAACATCTTTCCACATACACACACCCACACTTTTACACCACCACATTTTATCGACACACTTCCCTTTTCACACACTTCACCAGCACCACTTCAACGCTTTGCTGCGAGTTGTTCATCTGTTCTTCAGTTCATCACGATTTGTTCTAATTCAATAATAAAAGCAAAAAATGAAGAAACTGACTTGAGTTGTAGCACTGAAGCGCGAAAAATTCAGTCGGATCGCTATCATCACCGGTAACAGCATCAAACTGCCCAAGAATGCACTGACCAAATTACAATTAGTCACTGTGCTACATTCACAGCAGCAGCACTAATCCAATTGTGCCCATCTCAGAAGCTGAACACACTGTCGTCCAATTATCTGTAATGCGATTATCCACTGGCTACTTTCTAATGCAGTCACCAGCATCACCCCTTTCAACGCATCATCACTAGAACACAATCTTCATCGACTGCGACTGAATTAAACCAACTGAGACAACGGTGTCGTTGCTGTTTCGGCTGGATAAAGCGTTGAATACTATTTAGTAGACATTTTTCTTTGATAAATCCTTTTTAAATATTTATTTTAAATTCTCAATTTCCAGCGTTTTTTTCAAATCTGTTTAAACAACAATGATTTGTTGACAGTAAACCACATTTAGTTACAAAAAACCATCCCTTTTTTTCTGTAATTGCAAAGTGAAGCACTTCATTTCCATTTATTTCATTGCACTTTACTCATCCATTTTTTCTGTTCTATACACCCAAGTTTAGACAAACACACAAACACAGACAGGGCAAAGTAATTGTGAAACAGTTTGAGTGAAGCACAATTGAGACTGTTCAATTGTTCAATTGACTAGGCTGAGTGAAAGAAGACAAACGCTCCGATAGAGCAATAGCACCCGATTTGACATTTTCATTTGCGTGTGCTCTTCCTCTTTCAAGTGCCAGGTTTTTGAAGTATAACAAAAACGAAACAAGAACACTACCACTGTCAGTCTGTACTACACCATCACAATCTTTGCAACCACTGAACATGGCAGCAAGATTGGTAATTGTAAAGCTAGTGCAATAAAGTCATTTTTATTATTTGCATATAATTATTAAATTGCACATTTGCGGGCTGCAATGAAAGCCCGCGTTCTGCGGCTACTAATGATAAAACAAAAAATATTACCACTACTTTTTTCTTTTCTTTTAATTAAACGGACACATTTTCAAATTAGCATTTAATTAATTTTGGCTTATCTAATTTATTTAAAGTGCAAATGATCAAGCGGAACATCAAGTGGGAGCAATTAATTTGCAAAAATAGCAGCAGCAGCTCGATTCTGCTGAAAATGGCTCTAGCATTGCAGGGTGGCAGTGGCGGACACAAATTGAACAAGAATTTGTACAACTGCAATGGACAACACACTGCGGGTGAGATTGGGCGAGTGATTTGGTTTGCCAAGAAGCAAAAAGGCAGATTGGCTGAGAAGACAGAGAGAAAAAGAGAGCAAACCCGAACCCAGTCAAATGTAAGCGTCGATATTAATGAGACATAAAAACAAAGGAAACGGGTAAATGGCGAGCTGTGCAAAATCTGCAACATCATCACATATTGAAATGGGCTCTAGCTGAACGACAGGGCAGAGCTGAGCAGTTGGAAGGAACTGAAGAAAAAGAAGAAGAGAAAAACCGGAGAGAGCGAAAAAGAAAAAGAGTCTGACAGAGTTGAGCTCGCAAGCCGAGGTCGTGTCAGAGACGGAGGCTCTTCATTTTCTCTGGCAGCCATGTCCCAGCAGAGAGCAAAAAAGGAAAACCAATCCAAATGGCGAGTATTGAGAAGGAGCCAAGTTAATCGACAAATGCAATGTCTAAGCAGTTCTAATACTAACGTCTCACAACAGAACAAAACCTACTTGGCCGAAAACGAAAAAAAATACTAAAATGCTTTTTGTAAGCTGTAAGTTTAATCTGAATTAACCTTTCTGTGCCAATCATACTTTTTCAAAAAGTGTCACTCGCAAATCACCCATTACCAGAGTCAGCAATTTGATACAAGCTGCGGCAATTCAAATCAAATTAAAACAAATTTAAATTTAATTGCTGCTAATTGCCACTGACAAACATGTGTGTCTGTGAACCAGCATTTTTTGAGTTATCACAATGGGCCCTATGAGTGCTATATAAAGCAACACTAACTGAAAACCAGAAAAGAAAAAAGATCCCAATTAGGGAGTCCTAAATGGCAAGCGATTAGGTCTCCTGCCGTCGAACATTCTACTGATGCTGCTGAGCATTCGAATGCTGGGCAAGTCGCTAATTATTGCGACGTAATTGACTATTAGCAGAAAGAGAGAAACAAAACCGCATACTGCTGCCGAGTGCATCATTAGATGAAGACAACGGGACTGAGCCTGACTAGATGTGTGCTGTCAGTAGGTGAATGCAAATGCCCAGTGTTGATTAGATCTGCCGGAGTTGATCCGACCACCAAAGACTGGTGGTGATAGAGAAAGCTAAATGACGGCCATAAGACTAGATCCACGAAGACACAGACTAATAAGTCTATGATAATGAGACAAATTTACAGACAACAGTCTTATTGTAATCCATTCTGGCTGGCGGAAAGCTGCTTTCTTTGCCCAAGAGACCAGTGGTAGGTTGCCTGCCGCCTGTTCCTTCTGCTCATGCAGATCGCTTGCAGTGTCGATATGCTGCGGTTAGTGTTGGCAGTCTTGGCAGCCTCCGCCGAGACCGCATCATTTGACACAATGGACAATTCAATTGGCAGTGTTCAGCTAACTGCGCGCTGAACACTGGCACTGCGTCCAAAGTCTGGCAGTGGTAGTAGTAGTGCTTTACTCCACAACAGGGTCACACTTTGCGCAAATCTGATCTGGTCACAGTGTGCTCGGGTGCAGTGGCACTCTTCTCCCCACTGCGACACTACTAAATATAGCCATATTGTCAACTTTTGGCTTCACTTTTTGTCTGAAACGGCTCTTAGCGGCATCTTCAAGTTTTTCTTAAACGACGGCAAACAAGCAGACAACAACTCTTGGCAGTAATTGGCGAGCAGACTTTGACAGGCTGGCCGCTGGCCAGTGTCTTTGTGTCGCCCAGTATTTGTAGCCGATTAACTACACTTCATCGATCGATCGACTGAGCTTGGCTGTGCTCAATCATGATAACACAAGTCATTTTTTGTGTAGGTGCAAGTATAACCACTAAATTGATTCACTTCATTTTTTCCTCATAGGCAGCCATTAATTCATAGCTTTGAGCAAAATGTTGCTTTTANTAAGTCTTTCTTAAACGACGGCTAACAAGCAGACAACAACTCTTGGAGGTAATTGGCGAGCAGACTTTGACAAACTGACCGCTGGCCAGTGTCTTCGTGTCGCCCAGTATTTGTAGCCGATTAACTACACTTCATCGATCGACTGAGCTCAATCATGATAACACAAGTCATTTTTTTGTGTAAGTGCAAGTATAACCACTAAATTGATTCACTTCATTTTTTCCTCATAGGCAGCCATTAATTCATAGCTTTGAGCAAAATGTTGCTTTTAGAAAAAAAAATGGCTGATTGGTAAGCAAAAAATCAACAACAGCAATCAGCGTATAATAAACAACATGAACAACAGCTACAGAATTAATTGCACGCGCTCATTATGAGCCTATTACCGTCACCACTAGTCTCTTATATTTTGAGATATACTCGGTGGCTCGGTACGTGACACACACTGTGTCGCCGTTATTACCCGACGGCCATCGTGAATGAGCCCAGAATCATGTATTAGGATGGGAGAAAATTTCTTGCAGAAGCCTGTAATTACACCGCCGGTTGACGTGCTAAGTGCAGCCTAGTTTACGTCATAACGGGACACCAAGTGCTCAGAGTATATTTCAAGGAAAAATAAACACACGCCTAAGTGGGGTGGGCAGTGATTTGTGCTCTATCGGTGGGCATTGGTCTGTTTTACAGCAATCTTTATTAAAGCTGGTATTGCTGAAACGGCTGTCAGCTTGTCGTCAGATTACTGGATCAACTTTAAATTTATATCGCTCTAATAAAGTATGAAAGGTCAGATTCTGCTGCTGCTGTTGCTGCAGCAGCTAGAGGCAAAAAGGTAATGCTCGCAGTTTTTTCTCTTGAGCCCTTCTACAGTGCAATTTCATGAGACGAAACCGATAATTACACGACAACTTAGATGTTTGGCCACGTTTAAAAATGTCCTCAATTATACCGCTGTGACCCAAGAAGGGCCATTCCACTCGTTAGCGAAAAAAGCTTTAATATGAGACAATAAAAAGTGCTAGACTTATGATACAGTGCCAATCAGTGGACACAGTGCAGCCAGATAAGCACGTCGACGTGCAGACATGGCTGCACTGCTGCTGAATGGGCTTCAGCTAATTTCAATTGTCCAAAATGGACCACAAATTCAATTCAAGGCGTCAGACAAATTGGCGCAAACTGGCACTGACAAGGCGACACAACTGAATGTGTCCACAATTGGACAGATGTAACGAGATTAAATAACATTGTGGTGCCGCTATAGTATAAAAGTTAAGCAACAAGATGGAAAACAACGAAAAATAAGGCGGCAAAAGATGGTAAGAAGACG